TAGAAGTCAAGCAGCAAATGTCCCACTCCGTCCCCCAAAACATAACCAAGTTCATTTCCATCACAATCAACCTTTGCAAAGGAGGCAAGGCCTTCCGGATAAAGTTAAGTGCCTCCCCTTCCTCCCCGCTAAAACTTAGGGGAAGGGAGGAGTTTGGTGTTACCTGTCCTAGGTGCAAAACTCAACTGGGGTTCACGCCTCACTGAGGATGGCCTCTTTGCTGGGCCTCACCTCTTCGCTGTGCCTATCTTCCCCCAGTGAAGTGGACATGATGGTCACACACACACACCGTCTGGCTCTCTCCTCCGAATGTTGCCAGGATTAAGTGAGAGGAGGCACGTAAAAGGTTTGAAAATGTGGCTTTGCATGGTAAACAATTAAGGTTTGCTATTATTATTATTTTTTAATATATTTTATTGATTTTTTTACAGAAAGGGAGAGGGATAGAGAGCTAGAAACATCGATGAGCGAGAAACATCGATCAGCTGCCTCCTGCACATCCCCGACGCTCTATCCACTGAGCCAAACCGGTTACAGCGCCATTATTTTTTTTTTTTTTGAGGTATTCAACGGCATAGTTTATATGCACATCGGCGCCATCATTATTAATTGCATACCAGAAAGGGGTGTGAGCACGCCCCTATTTCACAGGGAGCAGTATAAACCGGACGTTTTCTTGTAAGCACTTACACTATATTCCTGGAAATCATGTACCCAGAGAAAGTAATTATACAATTGTTTACCGTGTTTTGCTCTAAATATCCATCCCTGTGGGATAAGTAACTTGTGGCAGAGGGTACTGTGGAATATTAACTGTACAGCAATGAAAAGAGAGATCTACATGTACTGTCTTGGAATGATCCCCTGCAGATGTTGCAGAGCAGCTGCAGAGGGATCCAGGATTCTATATCCAACATTTGAAACCAAACGCAGAGAAACCAATGTCAGGCTTCTACCAGCACATACCTATGTCAACACACAGAAAAAGGCCATCCCAAACTGAAAGAACTCAATCTTTGGGAAGAGGAGAGGTCCATGTTGGATTAAAAAAGTGGGGGGGTAGGGGGAGATAGTTGGTGAAGACTTGAATCTGTTCTGGGGTGTTTTTGTTTGTTTTTTAAATATTTTCAATTTTATTGGGGTGACATTAGTCCACATGAACATATAGGTTACATGTGTGGATTACTAATTTACAAAATCTGTATATAGGACCATGTGCCCACCACCCAAAGTCAAATCTTTCCCTGTCACCTATTAGGACCCCTTTCTTCCCCCCCACCTCCCTCCCTCTGGCAACCACCACACTGCTGTCTGGGTGTTTTTAATCTTCCTGGGCTCATATTCACATATATTCCTCATGTAGTTAAAATTTAACTTAAAAAATAGGAAATAACTGCCCCCTAGGAACTCCCTAACCAGTGGGAAAAACAAAAATGAAATTTGATAATGGTGTCACAAGTGCAATAATGAAGGAATTTTACACACACACACACACACACACTAGCCTTTTTCCTACTTCCAATTTTATCATATAAGACAGTGAATTTACAGGTGTTTGGATTTCAGACTCTGAAATTTTAATTTAATTGGGGTACCTAAATAGGTCGTCAACTTTCTTCTTTGGCTTAGGGAGACATTTTATTAATGCCATCTATTATGTTAAAAATTTAACAACTGTAGAATCTAGACCAGCCGTGGGCAAACTATGGCCCGCGGGCCGGGTCCGGCCCATTTGTAATGAATAAAAATAAAAAAAAAAAAAAAAAAAAAAAAGACCGTACCCTTTTATGTAATGATGTTTACTTTGAATTTATATTACTTCACACAAACACTCCATCCATGCTTTTGTTCCGGCTCTCCGGTCCAGTTTAAGAACCCATTGTGGCCCTCGAGTCAAAAAGTTAGCCCACCCCTGATCTAGACAGTAGGTATATTTAAAGATTCACTACAATTCTTTCAACTTTTGTCTGAAAAGTTTTCATGATAAAATGTTAGTGAAAAGTATAATCATCATCATTTTAAAAATATTTTTTTCTTGATTTTTAGAGAGAGGGGGAGGGAGAGAGAAACATCGCTGGCTCTCTTTTGCATGCCCCCTAGTGGGATCAAGCCCACAACCTAGGAATGTGCCCTGACCAGGAATCCAACCAGCAACCTTTTGGTGGACAGGACGATGCCTGAGACACACCAGACAGGGCTCATTGTTTCTTTAAGTGTCATATGCATTGTAGGAAGGACACACTCCCAGAATTGTCAAATGGACAAATTAGTTTGGGGAAAACACCTAATTGCCCTGTTGTTTGTTTTTCACATCTTTGCAGACAGGTGCAAATCTCGATTGGGGATCTCTCCCCTAAAGGCCAGGAGGAGGTGCACTGGTACTGGCCTTCAAAGAGCTTGAAGCCTGATCTTTTTTTTACAGACCTGTTCTTCCCCTTCCCCAATGGATAAGGTGTGGAGCCGAGAAATGTCTCCAACTTTACAGACTCCACTCCTGCTTCCAGGTGTCTGACGCATAAAAAATAGAGGTGGATGGAAAGATACGTCCTCCTATGTTTAAAAAACAAAGATTTGGGGGAGGAATTCTAGCATCCCAAACCTTCAAGCATATGTCACAAGACACGTAGCATGTTTCACATTTATGAGCACAGATACCAATATGCAAATATGCAAACACCAGACCATGGCACACATGGTTGTTTACTAAGGTGTTAGACGTAAGTGGCTACTTGATAAATGAACTGAAATCAATAGAAAACTAGGATCCTAGCTGGTTTGGCTCAGTGGATAGAGCGCCGTCTGCTGACTGCAGGGTCCAATTCCGGTCAAGGGCACATGCCCGGGTTGCAGGCTCAATTCCCAGTAGGGGGCGTGCAGGAGGCAGCTGATCAATGATTCTGTCATCATTGATGTTTCTCTTTCTCCCTTTCCCTTCCCTCTCTTAAAGCAATAAAAATGTATTACAGCCCTAACCGGTTTGGCTCAGTGGATAGAGCGTCGGCCTGCAGACTCAAGGGTCCCAGGTTTGATTCTGGTCAAGGGCATGTACCTTGGTTGCGGGCACATCCCCAGTAGGGAGTGTGCAGGAGGGAGCTGATCTATGTTTCTCTCTCATCGATGTTTCTAACTCTCTATCTCTCTCCCTTCCTCTCTGTAAAAAATCAATAAAATATATATTTTTTAAAAATGTATTACAAAAAAAAAAACTGGGCACGAGGCAGAATATATGGCACTGTTCTAATTTTGTTCTTTAAGTTTACATATAAAATATATAAATATACATATGCCTCACCTGCAAAACAGGCAAGTCAAAACTGTATCAGAGGGTTGTTCTGAGGTTGAATATTACAATGACACACATGCATGTACAAAGCCTGAAAATTATAACCCACTGGTTGGCAGAATTATGTATTTTGACTTTTTCTTCATGTAGTCAGTTTCCAAGTGTTCTAAAGGGGTTGTGTATAAATTTTATAATCTGGGATGAAGGAAAAGGATATTTTACATTAAAAAGTCAACCAGATGGATTGAAATATGTGGCCCACCTGCACAAGTGGAATATTAGCCACAAATATATGGATAAACCTGGAAAACATGAGACCACAAAAGGCCAAGTATTTCATGATTCCATTCATATGAAGTGTTCAGAACAGACAAATCCAGCAAGTGGATTTGTGGTTATGGTGCTGGAGGATTGTGTGAGGTTGCTTTTGGGGTGATGGGAACCTTCTGGAACTGGAAAATGGTGATGGTCTCACAAGTCCGTGAACATGCTAAAAAACCAATGAACTGTACACTTTAAATAGGTGAATGTTATGGCAGCATGAAATGTATTTCAACAAAGCCATTTTTTAAAATTTTATAAATCTACCAGGAAAGAAATATGCCCAATATTGCGATTATTTCTGCATAGTGGTTCCACAAATATACTTGTTATATTTAACTTTGAAAATGAGAGAAACACCCCAAAATTCCACAATCTTGACAATGAACCCACCTCAATATGTTCTGTCCCATATAGGGCCCACCCAGAGACACACTCATCTGTCTCTATGGATTCCTGTATTGGAGATTTCATATGAAATCATATGTGATCACTGTGACTGCCTTCTTGCACTTGGTATGTTCACACTCATAACACATTTTTAAGGACCAAAGAGACAGAACTTTCTTATTAAATCTGCCCATGTCATTACCTGGCTGTCAATAAAAAGCACCAGGTAATAGGCCAATGTAAATAAAAGCCTCTTCAGAATTCAGCACTAGTACCTTCCCTCATCCGTGTCCTGACTTCCCCTGGAATTAGCATTTCAGGTCATCAGTCCCCACACACCCGGTATACCCAAATTTCCCCAGGCCTGCAGACCCCCAGAGACCACTACAGCCTAGGGTTCCTCAAACGTAAATGGAGACAGAAGCACATCAGTGAGAATAAGTAACCACCCCCATTCCAAACTGTCATTTGCTGACCCCATAAAGGTCAAAAAAAACCCCTCCTGAGCAGGAGTTAGAACCACTGCCCATCACTTTGATCTTCTGGGTCTCCGTTTTCTCATCTGCCAAGTGAGGACGATGCTACCCTGCCTAGTCTGTCTCCTGGGGTTTTTGTGAAAATAAAATAATAGAAACAGAAGTACCCGTGGGCTACAAAGCGATTTGCAAACAGGAGAAGACAACCAAATGCATCTGTAAAAGACATTTATTCTGAGAATCTAAAATCTGGACAAAGAATATTGAACTTTATAGAAAATGCCTAGACAGGATTTTGTCATTTCTTCCTAATACATTAACCACCTAATAAAGAGGAAAAAAACCTTTCAAACAATATTGTTCCAGTTTGTCTGCAGTTATGTGTTGAGGTATGAGCTGCAAACTTTGGTAAAGTTTGTAGAAAAATTAACAAATAATTCCAAAAAAATAAAAAATAAATCCCTAAGTTATAGATTTCTTGGTACATATACAGTAACTACAAAAAAATTTCATTTAGAAAAAGTATTTCTTTTAAAAACAAATTCCCTCTTGTAAATCTTAATTGGTGAGTTGAAAAGTCAATGTAAAGGAAGAACAAAACTCAACCTATCCCCACTCACCCAGATTTGGAAAGAACCGGTTGGCCAATCTAGAGTCTGGTTGGCATTTTCAGTAATTCAGTGCTAAAAAAGAGCCCCGTGCTTAGAAAGGAAGAACCAAAGGCACTTGAACATGGCTTAATGCATCTACCTCTGCGGCGTGCCAGAGGGGACAGCGTTTGGCTGCACACCGGCTCCACATACAGGACAGTCCAGCGGAGGTAGCTTCTGTGTGGCCTCAACTCTGCTCAAGGGACACAGGTCTCTGCTTGTGGGTCTTAACCACGGAAGCCGGCTGGTGGCGGATGGCTGTGAGGCCAGAGTTTAAACTGGGCTGAATGGGATCTTTTCCTTTCTCCCTTTCAGCAGGTCCTGATGGATGACTCCTGGGCCACGCCACACCCAGGGCCACCACCAGGTACCACCCTGCTGAGTTCTGGCGATGAAACGCTGTCAGGAGGTATGCCCGCTTTCAGCTTTGGGGCCAAGCCCACACACCTGGGAAAGGTGGTTCTAGGCAGTCAATGCCTTCCTGCAGGAGCCTCTGAGAACCTGATGTTGGCAACATAGCGGCCTTCAGGCCAAGTAATTTCTAATTTCATCTTCAGAAAAAACATTTGTGTTTTTGCTCATACACTGCAGGCTTTATACTTATTTTAAAAACCAAGATAAAACACTGAGCAGTCTAACTTTCTTTCTTTGAGCCATAATACAAATTCCTAAAAATTTATAGATTAAAAAAACAAAACCAGGAAGACAAGGGTTTTTAGGAAGTAGAGGAAAAACTACATACTTAAGTTAAGCCCACTAAAAACAAGAGGGGCCAAGGACGCCTCTGATGCGTTTTTTAAAAACGCCCGGCGAGAAGTGCTTGTGGATCACCGTCCGTTGCCATAACCGGGGAAGAGCTGGGTAAGGATTGCCTGCAGCGGCTGGTTCACCTTCATGGAGTAGTTTCGGCCCAGTTCGCCGCGGCAGGCAGGGCAGCTGAACACCTGGGCTCTGAAGGATCTATCCAGGCAATTCTACGAGAGAGAGTAGGAAGGTGAGACATTCCGTCCATGTCAGCGGAGCCACTCCTGGCCACCCACTGTCCCCACTGACAGAGTTGAGAGCACTTACTGACTTCTCATGGGGTCCAGAGGGCCCCTCCTGGTCCTCAGTCTCACTTCCTACCACTCACTGCCCATTGCCAGCCTGACCTCCAAAGGACCCCTCAAAGACTAGTTCATCCTGACCCCTAGGCCTTGGCACTTACAGATTATACCACCTAGCAGGTCTGTCCTCTGGCTCTCCCATCAACTCCTGCCTTGGCTCAAGTCACCTCCTCAGAGGACCCTTCCCTGACAGCCCTTGAGCATCATCGTAGGCAGCCCCACCACAGCCAGTCCTTAAAACAGCACCTTTTCTGCCTTCTGGCATCGTGTTATTTACTAACGTTTGTCTCTAACAGGCCAGATGCTCCCTGTGATATGGAGCTGTATCTCACTGACTTCCCCAGCACCAAACATAGTAGGTGATAAATAAAATGCGTCAATGAGAATAAAAGAAGAAAGGAAGGAATTCTGACGCTGAGCCAGACTTCTGGGTTCAAACTAAGCCAGGTGGAGACTGAGTTATGACTCGGACAGGCCCTGAAGAGCCAACTTCCTAATCAGAGAAACAGGGAAGACAACTTCCCAATCAGAGAAACAGAGAATCAGAGAAACAGGGAAGTATTTTAAGGCCAAATACTAGTCCATTGTCTGGATGGACCACACTCTCTGTATCATTCATCTGTTGACGGACACTTGAGTTGTTACCACCTGGGCAGAGACAATGAACACACGTATGCAGACACCTGCATAGGTATGCACACCTGACGGATGACATCAGGCAACTGGGTAAATGTGAACACGATGGAAAACCTGCTGACGCCATGGCACGTTCCCCCACAAATGCATACTGAGGTTTTTGTTTGACATTCTTTCAATTCCTAAATTCCTTTTCAATAAAAATTTTATGGCCTTGATTCCGGGAACAAAAGGTAGCTCTTTCTGCTCCAAACAACTAAGATTTGGGTCTACATTCAAAAATCAGGTTCTGGATCACTGCATGATTCATAGCACCCAACAGTTGGAAACAACTCAAGTGTCCATCAACAGATGAATGATACAGAGAGTATGGTCCATCCAGATAATGGACTAGTATTTGGCCTTGAAAAGGAAATCCGACACACACGCTACAGTGCAGATAAATCTTGAGGACATTATGCTCAGTGAGAGAAGCCAGACACAAAAGGACAAATATTCAGGAGGTTCAGTCATAGGAGGTCCCTAGAAGAGTCAGATCCACAGAGAAAGGAAATAGATGGTGGTCAGTAGATGAGAGGATAAAAAAACTGTGGCACATTTATACCATGGAATACTCTGCAGCAGTAAAAAAGAACCTCTTACCCTTGAGACAGCATGGAGGGACCTGGAGGGTGTGTATCACGCTCAGTGAAATAAGCCAGTCGGAGAAAGATAAGTGTCATATGATCGCACTCATATGTGGAATCTCATAAAATGAACGGAGTGGATCCAGAGGCATGGAAGCATGGAACGCAGTGCAGAAGCTTGGAGGGAAGGCGGGGGAGTGGGAGGTAACCGACCAAAGGCCTTGTATGCATATATGCGTGGCTCGTGGCCACAGACGAGAAGAAGATGGTAAAGGCCTGGGGTGGGCCGGAGGGGGTCAATGGGGGATGAGGGGGCGCCTATGTAATACTTTCAACAATAAAGAGTACAAAAAAAAAAGTAGATAGTGGGAACCCAGGTGCTGGTGTAGGAGGATGGAGAGTTAGTGTTTAATAGGGACGGAGTTTCAGTTTGTAAAGATGGAAAAGTGCTAGAGATGATGGTGGAGATGGTTCCACAACAATATGAATGTACTTAATACTACTGGACTGTACAATTAAAATGGTTAGGATGCCCTAGCTGGTTTTATCTCAGTGGATAGAGCATTGGCCTGTGGACTGAAGGGTCCCGGGTTCAATTCCGGTCAAGGGCATGTACCTTGGTTGCGGGCTCCTCCCGAGCCCAGGCCCTGGTTGGGGCACATGCAGGAGGCAACCAATCGATGTGTTTCTTTACATCGCTATTTCTCTGTCTTTTCTTCTCCTTTCACTCTCTCTAAAATCAATGGGAAAATATCCTCAGATGAGGATTTTAAAAAAATGGTTAGGATGGTAAATTTTATGTTATGTGTATTTTACTATAATAAAATGATTTAATAAAATGAGATAAAAAAATTGGTGCTGGGACATCAAGGTGAGGATCATTTTCCCATAACCCTCACATGCTGATGTTCTGGGAGATGGAACTACAGTTGCATGGACAGCCGGGGCAGACACATAAATGTCGGTACCCTCTTCCTTCACAGGCTTGGCACTTTGTTTGTTTTTGGAAAGAGAGGAAAGGAGAGGGAGAGAAATATTAATGTGAGAAAGAAACATCAATCTGCTGCCTCCTGCACGATCCCACTAAGGATGGATCCCACAATCCATGCATGTGCCCTGACCAGGAATCGAACTGGTGACCTTTTGGTTGGTGCATGGGACAACACTCAACCGAGCCTCAATGGCCAGGTTAGCCTTGGCACTTTAATGACACATATGACTGACCCCTGAGACGCTTGGTCCCTGAAACCCCATCAATTCAGCCCACTTCTGCAGTGCTATCCAGGACTGAAGTTTTGTAAGCTCCCCCTGCATCAATGGCCCGCTCTGCCCGCTTGCCTAAAGCACTTTAGCGTGTGTCACCTACAGCCAGAAGCAGGCCAGGAAGGCACTGCTATGCCCCTTTTCACTGAGGGGCAACTAAGGCTCGGAGAGTTGGGTGGCTTTCCAAGGATGGGAGGGGCAGAGCTGGGTGGAGGGTCAAACCCTGGCTGCAGGCTCCAAAGCCCGTATCTCACCACCAATCCGGAGCCACTTCTCCAAGACACTGAGTTGAAGGAACACCATCAGCCCATGTAACATGGTGGCAGAGCCCAAACGCAGAAAACTGACGGCCAAACAACCACACTGCTTCATGTTCTCTGAGCCCCTCCCCAAGGGTGACAGCTGAGGGACTGAGCCAGCCTCAAGGCAAGGAAGGGGGCCAGATCCGAGAACGAAAGAGCCAGAAGCTCAGGGACCAAGGGTGACCAGGGGGTGGGGACAGTCGCTTCTAACACCATCTGCCTACACTGCCCATAAGTTCCTTTTAACAGACTTGGGCCAGAAAACACTGCAAAGAAACCAGTTACACAAGCCAGTGCTTCCCACCTGGACAGTTCTGCCCCCAGGGGACACTGGGCCACGTCTGGGGATATTTGTGGTTGTCATGAATGGAGAAGCAAGTGGATGGGGATCAGGGAAGCTGTTCAACCTCCTCCCCCGCCCCCCGGTGCCCAAAATGCCCCCCCCCAAGAGAATGTTCTGGCCCCAAGGTCCACAGTGCAAGGGGGAGGGGAGACCCTGGTTAATCTGATCTCAGCTCCCCATCTCTCTTTCAATCATATTGTTTCTCTCCTAACACTGACCACCAGGCAGAGCCTATGGCCCACCTCCCAGCCCTACATCCCCTCTAGGCCCCAGCTGTTCAGGCACACCTGCCTGTCCAAACTTCTGCACATGCCATCCCGCCAATCTGGAATGCTTCCCGGAGGCCCCCTCCTCCAGGAAGCCTTCCTCCTGGCTCCTCTAGGAGACAAGCACCTCATGCCTCTACAGCCTGCTCTTTTAAAACAAATGTTTTTACTGATTTTAGAGAGAGAGATAGAAACATCAATGCCTCAACATGGATCAGCTGCCTCCTGCACAGCCCCTACTGAAACCCAGCCACGTGCCCTGACCAAGAATTGAACCAGGGACCTCTTGATACAGGGGTCAATGCTCAACCACTGAGCACACCAACTGGGCTCTACCACCTGCTTTACAGACATTTACTATGACAAGACCTCAGGCCAGGACTGCCAACTATCCTCTCCCACCCTGGACCCCCAGGTACATGAGAGACTTGGGGAGAGTGTTCCAGAGGGAGGAGAGAACCAGCCAACACACAGAAGAGGGAGTCATGAGGCGAGGTGACACTGGAGTGCCAGGCGGCCCAGGTGGGGTCGGTGACTGGGGCAAGGATTTGGCATCTGATTCCACAGCACCAGGGAAGCACGGGAGGGTGGGGAGTGGGGAAGGGGGCCGATGGGATCCCTTGATGAAGGCCGGGAGGCAACTATGACCATGGCTATTTGGAAAAGACACTAAGGCCCTGCAAAGGGAGCCAGGAGTGTGCAGAAGCCAAGCCAACAAGCCCATACTATGTGCTGGGTGTGTGGCAGCCCAGCTCCCGTGCCCACGCCTCTCACCTTGCACACGTTGTGTTGGCACACGGTGGTGATTGGGCGGAATACCAGCTCCTGGCAGCAAATACACTGGAATGTTTCTTCTACTTTATTCAGGAATTTCTGAAACCAGAAGAGGGGATGCATGAGACCAGCAGAACCTTACACAGAAATGAACCATGCTGATGGAAGCCTCAGACAACGGGGCTCCCTACTACACCTGGCCCTGGTTCCCTAATGTAATCCTCCCATCCTTACCCCAGGAGACAGGAGCGGTGTGATCCCCATTAAGATGAGAAAGCAGAGGCCCAGACCGGTGCAGGCCCTGCCCAGGACCTGGAGACGGGCACAGCCTGCCCGGGTCACGGCCTCCATAGTGCTGGGCAGGACACCCAGGGTCGGGGTCCAGAGCAGGCTTTAGCTGAGGGCATGAATCTAGATCACTCAGTAAATAGGCTGAGTGCCTTCTATGTGCTGCCCGGGCACGGGGTCCAGCAGTGGATTAAACTGAAGAACCCTATGCCCTCACAGAGCTTGGAGCCCTGTGGGGGGTGAGGAGGGGGGCACAGATAAAACGGGGAAAGACAGAAATGTCACAACAGTGCTGGGAAATACAGCATGGAGCCTGGGAGGGGCCCACCCAAAGTGCAGGTGGTCACAGAACACTCTGTAGAGAAGGTGACCTGAAGGACGTGTGCCCAGCTAAACCATGCCCCTAAAATACACCTGAACCCCAGGATCAGTGTATACCTTCCCTTCCATAGCAAAAGAAACTGCAAATAGAATTAAACTGAGGACTCTGAGATGAGACTACATTAAACTAAATAAGTTTTTGGCCCAGCCGGGTGTAGCTCAGTGGTTGAACATCAACCCAGGAACCAAGGGGTCACAGGTTCAATTCCTGGTCAGGGCATATGCCTGGGTTGCAGGCTCGATCCCCAGGAGGGGACGTGCAGGAGGCAGCCGATAAGTGATTCCCTCTCATCATTGATGTTTCTCTCTCTCTCTCTCTCAGTCTCTCTCTCCCTCTCCCTCCCCTTCTGAAGTCAACAAAAATACATTTTTAAAAAGTTTGCATAACAAAGGAAACCATCATCAAAACAAAAAGAGAAGATATTCACTAATGATACATATGATAAGGGATTAATATCCAAAACGTATATATAAAGAAGTTGGACAATTTAACACCAAAAGACAAATAACCCGGTTTAAAAATGGGCAGAGAACCTAAGTAGACATTTCTCCAAAGAGGACTACAGAAGGCCAATAGACATGTGGAAAAAAATACTCAACATCACTAATCACCAGAAATGCAAATTAATCATCTCACACCGGTGAGAATGTCTATCATCAATATATCAACAAACAACAAGGGTTGGTGAGGATTTGGAGAAAAGGGAACCCTCGTGCATTGTTGGTAAAAATGCAGACTGACATAGCCACCGTGGAAAACAATATGGAGTTTCCTCAAAAAATTGTAAAACTAGAACTGCCATATGACCCCGCAATCACACTTCTGGGAACAGACAGCCCCCAACTTACAATGGTTCAACTTACAATTTTTCAACTTTGCAATCGTGTGTAAGTGATACCTATTTAGTAGAAACCGTATTTCAATTTTGAATATTGATCGGAAGCCGAGACACACAGAGATGGTTGCACCCCCGTGTACATATAGCAGCATGATTCACGATGGCCAGAAAATAAAAACCGCCCAACTGTCCACTTACAAACGACGGATACACAGAATGTAGTCTTTCCAGACAATGGACTATGATTCAGCCTTAAAAAGGAAGTTCTGACCCCTGTTACAATGTGGATGCACCTGAGGACATTATGCTTAGTGAAATCAGCCAGGCACAAAAGAACAAAAAAATACTGTGATTCCACTTTCAGGAGGTCCCTGGAGGAGTCATTCAGACAGGGGCTGGGGGAGGTCACGGGCAGTTCTAGTGTAGAACGGGGACTGAGTTTCAGTTTGGGAAGATGAGAAATTTCTGGAGATGAATGACGGGGTGAATGCATGATGTGAATGTCTTTTAATGCCACTGAGCTGTACACTGAAAAATGGTTAAGATGATGCACTTCATGTTATCTCTATTTTGTTATAATAAAAAAAAATGATGGGGCCAGGGGGTGGAATGTGGACGAAGGGTTCGGGAAGGCCGCTCAGGCCATACGGGTGCTCACCGGCCCATCCTTGAGTGACTTGAGGATCTCGGTCCACAGCTTAGTGTTGCTCTGGTCCTGCTTGATGAGGGCCTTCTGCTGGGCTGTGAGGCTGTAAGGCTCCACCTTGGTTTTCTTGGGTGTAACCCTCGGGGAGCAGGCACCTGAGACAGAGCAGAGTGGTGAGGGCGGGCGAGCCCAAGAGCACATGGACAGGCTGCCCATGGAGAGGGACCTACCTTCTGACTTACTCCTCCGTTTGTTCTTCCTGGGGGACGTGAAATCTTCCTCTTCTTCCTCCTGTTCGTCTTTCTCCTCTGCCTCTTCAGTCGGCCTCTTTCTGTTCTCTTTCTCCTTCTCCTTCTTGGCCAGAGCCTCAAGGTAGCCTTCTGGATACTACGAAAGGGCAAAGGCACAGGCTGGAGAAGCGGGACTCCTGGGTGACCCAGACTTCCTGTGGGGTGGGGGACCGGCAACTGCCCCACCTGACATCTGCCACACTGGCTCTGCACTTCCTGCCATCTCCCCTCTCCCCTCACCTCAAAGTCACTCCTTCCCCCGACCCCATACCAGCCTTAAAGCCTTAACTCCTTCTACTTCTACAGCCTCCGATCTGAGGCCTCCACTCAACTCTGGAGCCTGGAGCAGCAATCTCATCACCGCACTTACCAAGAATGCAGGGCTAACCTGCCCTGGCAGGGTGAGAGTGACGCATTAAATGAGACTGTGCAGGTAAAATTCTTAGGGTCAGATCAAGCCAATATGATAATATTATCGTCATTATTTCCTTTAAGGGGTAGGCAAACTTTCCCACAAGGGGTCGGGTGGTAAATATATCTCCAGCTCTGCCGTGGTTGCACCGAGAAAACTTTTTTTGCAAACAACTGCCCCAGGGGGCCTTACTGCCATCCAAACTCATTTCGATGGCCCCTGGGTTCCAGGTCCGCACAAGCATTACTTGGTTATAACCCCATATCTAAGGCACCTAGAGTCATGTCTGATTTGGAAATATTTTATCAAGAAAGTTCCAACCTTTTTTAAAAGAAACACTAAGTTGCAATGGAAACTGCAATCATAAAAAAAACCCTACTCCCATCAGATGCTGATGGTTCCTGTCCCACGGCTATTTCTCTCCCCAGTTCCTCAGCTTCTGAAATTACCCGTTACGGGTACACACGTCATGTTCAACTCCTGTGACACCCCCCAGAGGGTAGGCACTATCAGCTTCTCAGTGACAATTAAGGCTCCTTAAATAGTCCCAAAACAGTTACCAGCTGCTAGAGCACCTCACAATAATAAATAGAAAACACCACAATTATAGTGCCAAAAGCTCTATGGCAGCACAGGGTGAATTCTTGGAAAATAGAAGATTCCATTTCTGTAAAGAGGCAAGCGATGGCCGGGAGGGACCAATCCTCCTTATCTTTAGAACTGACTTCTCTACATTCCACCAGTTTCGTTGGTTTCTTTTTCCCCCAGATAAACCTACCTACTAACACCGGTGAGACAAGCCTGGATCTCAACTCTAAAACTATGAACACAATCTGCCCATCCACAATATCCACTGGCTGCGGAACTGAAATGGGGCAGACAGCAGCAAGATGTGGCCAGCTCGGCTCCTGGACATCATTTAGGCTGAAAGAGAAACCCCGGAGAGCTCCCAGGCCAAGGAGGCAGGCTCTGGCTAACTGAGCACTCACAGCCGTTCTCCTGCCATGATCCCCAGTGACTGACCAGGAAGACGATGTTCAAACCAGGACTGCTGGGCCAGGTGAGCACGGCCTGCACGCACCTGCATGGTCAGTCCCAGCTGCTTGATCCGGTTCTTCCCTTTCTTCGTCCAGGGGCCAGGTTCCTCATCGTCCCTCCGCAGAAGATAGCGCCATACCAGGAAGCCGGACTTCCCCTTCTCAGGCCAGTACCTCACAACCTGTGGGAAGTGAGAGCCCATGTCAGTGTCACCTGGAACTGGAGGTGGCGCCGGTGGGCGCAGGGAGGACCTCTCACCTTGTAGATGCCGTCGTACCGGTTGCCCTCAGTGGGGGCGTATTTGCTGTGCTTGCGGCCCTTGACGTTGCGCACCACCCGGACCGGCTTCCCTGAGCGCCAGTCCTTGGCCTCGGCCCCTTTGCGTTCGTTGATGGGGGCGCTGCAGTTGAGAGCCAGTGCCCTGCAGGGGGAGTGGGGGGTCACATGCTATCGTTTGGATTGTATCCCCCAAAAAGAACGGGCATCCTAACCCATGGAACCTATGAATGTGACCTTCTTTGGGAAAAGGGTGTTTGCGGATAAAGTCCAGTTCAGAGGAGGTCAGAATGGATGAAGGGAACCCTAAATCCAATGACTAGTGTCCCTAGAACAGTGGTTCTCAACCTTCTGGCCCTTTAAATACAGTTCCTCATGTTGTGACCCAACCATAACATTATTTTCGTTGCTACTTCATAACTAATTTTGCTACTGTTATGAATCATAATGTAAATATCTGATATGCAGAATGGTCTTAGGTGACCCCTGTGAAAGGGTCGTTTGATCGCCAAAGGGGTTGCGACCCACAGGTTGAGAACCACTGCCCTAGAAGAAAAGGAAATTGAGACACAGACACACAGAGGAGGACACCGTTTAAAGACGGAGGCAGAGGCTGGAGTGATGCGGCCACAAGCTGAGGGACCAAGGATTGCTGGTAGCCACCAGCTGAAGAGGCAAGGACCCTCCCACAGAAAGTTCAGAGGGAGCATGACTCTGACACCTTGATTTTGACTTTGAGCTTCCAGAAATATGCGAGACTTTCTGTTGTTTTAAACTACCCGGTTGGTGGTATTTCATTACTGGAGCCACGAGCTACTAGCACGGCATGTGGGGAGGGCATCAAGAAAAAGAGGAGGCAGCAAACAAGGGCTGGCCAGGCAGGTCTGTCTCGCCCAAGGGCACAGGGGCCTGGGAAAAGCCAACCAGAGGTCAGGCTCAGCATTCTGACCTCTCTATTGGGTGTGAAAGAAACAAGAGCTGCAACTCTGCAACTGTTTTCTAGGTGCAAACGTAATTTTTTTTTAAACATTTAATCACCTTTATTTTTTGTTTGTTTGTTTTTGTTAATCCTCACCGGGGATATTTTTCCATTGATTTTTACAGAGAATGGAAAAAAGAGGGAAAAACAGAGAGAAACACATCGATTAGCTGCCTCCTGCAGGAGGCCCTGACCAGGGCCCAGGCCAGGGAGGAGCCTGCAACCAAGGTACATGCCCTTAACAGAATCCAACCTGGGACCCTTTGGTCCGCAGGCCGATGCTCCATCCACTGAGCCAAACCAGCCAGGGCACAAACAGTAATTTTTAAACAAGTTTCTTAGTTTGTGTGCAGCAAGTACCACTTAATGTTAGCTTTCGGGCAGTTCCTCACATTAAACCTTTTCTGAAAACATGGTTTTTAACAGCTACTGAAATTAAAATATTCCACTAAACAAATGTACAACAAACCCTTCCCTTTAAAAAAAAAAAAAAAAACATTCAGGTACTAATGCTTTGCTATTTTACATACTGATACGATAAACATTACTAATTATAAGATTTTCCCCTCCCCATGTCTCATCATACACTTTCAAAGTAGAATTAGTTTCATAAGATCATTTTCAACACCTTTCCAGAAAGAAGGTACCCACTTGTATTTCTACCAATAGGGGAACACCAGTCTATGTCTTGGCATTTCACAGGGGAAATAAATAGTATTTTACCATCACTTCAATTTGTATTTATTTGATTACTAAAGTTGAATAATTTTTTATGTTCATTAGATTTCCATTTCTTTTGTGAATGATCTTATTTTTCTATGAGTTTTTTTGTTGTTATTGATTTGCAACAGCTCTTTACATAACAATCATGTGTCATGTTTGTTGCAGATTTTCCCCCAAAGAGTCATCTGACTCTTCATTTTACTTATGGATTTTACTAATGCAATTTCTAATATTTACGTCATCAAATCTATCTTTTCCTTTGGGCTTTATACTTTTTTTAATATTTTTTTATTGATTTTAGAGAGAGGGTAAAGGAAAAGGAGAGAGAGAAAACAATGTGAGATGTGAGAGAGAAACATCCATCAGCTGCCTCCTGCACGCCCCTTAAAGGAGATGGGGCCTGCAACCCAGAAATGTGCTCTGACCTGAATCAAACCGGCCAGGGCAAGGCTTTATGACACTTTTTATGCTTACAAAGACTTTCCCTCCCTGGCTGGTTTGGCTCAGTAGATAGAGCATCAGCCCACAGACTGAAGGGTCCCAGGTTTGATTCGGGTCAGGGCATATACCTCAGTTGCAGACTCGTTCACATACAGGAGGCAAACAATTGATGTGTCTCTGTCACATCAATGTTTCTCTCTCTTCCCCCTTCCACTCTCTCTGAAAAGGAAAAAAGGAAAAAATATTCTCGGATGAGGATTAACAACAACAACAACAAAAAAAACCTCTCCCTATCCTACAAATGAGGGGTCAGCAAACTTCAGCCCACTGACTGTTCTTTCAAATCAAGTTTTATTGGAGCACAGCCATGCATGTTTATTTATGTAAATTCTGCAGCTGCTTTTGTACTATGATGGCAGAGTTGACTGGCTGCAACAGAGATCATGCAGTTCAAAAAGCCAAAAGATTATCTGGCCTCTTCAGGGAAAAATTCACTCTAAGGCAAGCATGTCAAACTCAAAGGCTAACACGGGCCAAATAAACAAGTGTAAGTTTATGTGGGCCGCAAAAAACAAAAGCTTCAACTTTCATAGGAACGTAGGTTTATTTCAATAGACATGCTGAGTACAAAGGGCTGAAACAAATGAGTAATTGTTAACATAAAACAGAACATTTTAATAAAAATTAATATTTTTGCTTGAACATTAACTTACCAGACACTGAATAACTGCACAAATTAATAAGCATAATGCAAATAAACCTATTTCTCTTGTTCTTGGAAAGTGAAATATTTCTTACTGCGCACACCAAACAAGTCAGTCCAAGACTAATGGCAATCAGCTGCTAGAATATTCGCTGCTAGTATTAGTGGAGAGAAATGGTGCGCCTGCATGTAAGGCGTGTAAGGGAAATGAATGCAACACGATTAATCAGTCATTAGTGAACGTTGTAGTTCATTATTAATAATTATGTATGATAGGATATTGTAAAAATTAAGTTGTGAAATTTTTATTAAAATGTTTCTTACATTCTGTTATATTGGCTGGGCCACAAAAATATTCATTGTGGGCCGCATGTGGCCCGTGGGCCGCGAGTTTGACATGCTTGCTCTAATGCATTGAATGACTCACAAGTCTTTAGCCGACAGAGATAGAAAGATGTGGATTTTCAGCATCCATATGTTCTCCCACACTCTTAAAAGGAATCTAACTTCCTGGACATGACACCCTAAAACAGAACCAACTCCCTTCCCTGGGTAGCCGCCAGAGGACGCAGCAGAAGTGAGTTGATGAAAAAATAAGAAAACCTTGTTTCTGCAAACCTGTTGGTGTTGGTGAGTTTCTGATCACAAGACTGTTCTGCAGTCCGCTTGTTGCCGGAAAGATCTCGACCACCGCTACCAGTATACGTGAAAGATTCCCCATTGTCCTGCAACAGGGAAGGGCAAGCTGAACCCTCCACAGAGGAAAGACTCCACTAAAAATAAACCCACAACACCCGCTAGAATGTCAACTGTCAAACAGAAAATAACCAGTGATGATGAGGATGTGGAGAAATTGGAACCCTGTGCACTGCTGGTGGGAATGGAAAATGGGGCAGCTGCTGTGGAAAATGCTATGGAAGTCCCTCAAAAAATGAAATGTGACCCAGCAATGCCACTTCTGGGTCTGTCACTACCCAAAAGAATTGAAAGGGCATTTCAGAGATATCTGTACACTCACGTTCACAGCAGCATTAATTCACAATATCCAAGATGTGGGGGCAACCCAAGTATCCATTGATGGACACACACAATATGGTCCATTCAGACAATGGAATATTATTCAGCCTTAAAAAGGGAAGGAAATTCTGCAATATGCTCAACATGGATAAACCTTGAGGACATTATTCTCCATGAAATAACCCAGTCACAAAAGGACAAATACAGTGTGATTTCACACATAAGAAGTCCCTAGAGGAGTCAGATTCATCAAGACAGAAAGTAGATGGTGGGGGCCAGGGGCTGGGAGAGAGGGATTGGAAATTATTGTTTAATGGGGACAGAGTTTCAGTTTGGGAAGATGAGGAAGTTCTAGAGGTAAATGCTGGTGATGGTTACACATCAATGTGAATGTATTTAAATTCCACTGAGATGTGTACACTTACAAAGTGTTAATATGGCACATTTTATGTGTATTTTACATTTAAAAATAAATAAAACAACCCCCACTCACCACATCGTCCTCATACCCCCCAGAGAGGACCAGGGAGTACGCCCCATCATTGCTCCGGCCATGGATGCCCGCCACGTGCGGCCGATGGACCCCCGACTCACTGACCTGTGAAAACCACCGAGAAACAAATGGCACCACCTGGACTGGCTGCTGTAGAAACGCTCCCCTCACCCTCCTGCTGCTGCCTTCAGAGCCAGGGGCCTGACTTTCCCTCCGAGTGTATCACGCCTGTTATGAGAAGCTGGGCCACAGCACAGGAGGAGCTGGCTTGAATTCCGGCCATGCCCCCTGCTCGAAGGGTGGCCCTCTCCGGCGAAGGGGCTTCTGGAAGATCAGTGCCTGAGGACAAACTCCAGATGTTTACGCGTACCTGGACTCTGAACCTCCACATGGTGCCCACGGGGATCCCTGGGATGGGTCCGTAGTGGTTGGATGGAACGATGGTGCACTCCTTGGTGCGCCCCACGCACGCCATGCCCTGTCCAGTCCAGAAAGAGATGGAAGACAGTGTGAGCGAGCACGGGAGGGCGGGCAGAGCTGCCGGGGGCGTACAGAGCAAGGGGGCACCTCACCTTGCCCCAGTCCCGCTGCGAGGACGATGTGGCCGATGCCATTTTCGACTTCTTCTTACTCTCTTTCAGCTTCTCCCCTGCCAACACCACCTCACTGGCGTCATTTCGACATTTAGGGCAGAACCTGTGACAACAGGGACATCACTTCTGTCCTTAGCCCGCCCCACTCCTACTGGCCCTGCACACATAGCTGGCTCCTTCCAGCTCCCAACCTCCTGAGCTGTCCGAAATGGGAAATCTTCTACATTTAAATTCATTAAAATTAAACAAGAAATCCAGTTCCCCGGTCATACGTGCCACAGCTGAAGTGGTCAGGAGCCAGGCATGTGTGGAGGGTCAACCGTCGTGGAAAGTGCAGAGCGAGAACCTTGCCATCATCACAGGACATTCTACTGAACAGACTCTTGTCCCTCTCCTGCTGGGAATTTCACATCCCACTTCTCTCACTGCCCCTCTTGGGTTCACCAGGTGACAGGCAACATGCGTGTTATTTATTGGCACCCGCCGGCCCCCTAACCTGGATAGCTGAGCACCACGGCCCAAGCCTGCCACTGGAGCATTCGAGGCGTCCACTCACCACTCGGTCTCCGTGGGAACACTGCTGAGAGGCGGGTTGAGGCAGTACAAGTGAAAGGCGTGGTCGCAATCATCACACATGAGCTGCTTGTCGGGATCCTGCTTGCTCCCACACAGGCTGCAGGAACACTCATGGCAGGGCTTGCTCGGGTTATCCTTGCATTTATCGCAGAAGGGCTTGTTCTTCCCTGGACACAGCGGCTGGGGTCAGCTTGGCAGGGCCAGCCAGAGAAACAGGAGCCCCACCCCCACCCCCAAGGCGGGAGACAGAGGGCAGAATCAGAACTCACTTTTCACTGGGTTTTCCACCATGGGGGCCCCCTCGCCCGGACGCTCAATCTTGAAAACTTCATCCACAAACATGATCCGACAGTTGCTGAGAGAACCACTCCTGTGAGAGACAGGCCGTTAGACATTCCAGCTGGCCAGCCCTGCTAAGGCACCTCCAAGAGGACTTGGCCACCCCGCACATTCTCAGAGCATCTGAGCACCCCTCTAATGACACTGAGTAAGAGTCTCCTCAGGGCCCTAGTGCATTCATGTAGCTACTGCATTGCCAATTCAAGTCCTTCTAAATCCAACACAAGATGAAAGAAAGCAGAGTATAAAACAGTTTCACTACGTGATGCAGTGAGAGCAAGTTCTAACCTTCGGGCAAGGGGGGGCTGACTGAACAGGGCCCATCATGCAAGAATCACCAAGGTAAAGTCTGATCAATTAGCTGTCATCAAAATACAAAAGCTCCTCTAAGTTAAAATGACCCCATAGACCAGCCATCCTCAACCTGTGGGTCGCGACCCCTTTGGCGGTCGAACGACCCTTTCCCAGGGGTTGCCTAAGACCATCCTGCATATCAGATATTTACATGACGATTCATAACAGTAGCAACATTACAGTTATGAAGTAGCAACGAAAATAATGTTATGGTTGGGTCACAACATGAGGAACTGTATTTAAAGGGCTAGAAGGTTGAGAACCACTGCCATAGACAGTCAAACCTGTTTCTCGGATGTGGCTGTCTGGACCAAAACTTCAGTTTTCAATCTGACAACCCTTTCGTGTTGATACCTCAGCATGACAAAAAGCATCTCTCAGGGAACAAAGGAGAAAATGCTTTTGTTGCTGGTGAAATCAATGATTAGCACAATTTTAAAACATAAAGAAACCAGCAAGTGCGCTAATGTTGCTAAGGGTGTGAAAGTGCTCACAAAACAATCACAGGCAATTGAATAGGTAGAAAAACTGTTGTTGATTGGATAACTGATAAGCAGTTAACCAGTGATTGCATTTCAGAGGCAGCAATATATGAAAAATTCGTTTAAGGCTAGTGGGGGGTGCTTTGATAAATTTAAGTCTTTATGGATGAAACAGTGCAGTAGACACGTGTTGTATATAAGAAAGGTTAAAACAGAAGCATTTGGGGTCTGGAATGGATTCATTCCATTTACATTACTTTTAATGGGGAAAAATGATTCGGTTTTCGAACAAATTGCTTCTCAAATAGCCTTCCAGAACCAATTAAGATCAAGAACCAAGGTTCCACTGAACATCCACAATGTCCCACAGAAATGACCACAAGCCACGAACAGGTGCCACATGGGTAATTCCACATTTCCTAAGAACTACATTCAAAAAGTTAAGAACAGATGAAATTCATGTGAATATGTTTTATGTAACCCAATGTACACAAAAGATTATTTCAGTATGTAATGAATAGTAAAGAATTATTAATAGCCTTTTTTTATATAGTAGACTTTATTTGTTAGAGCAGTATTTGGTTCACAGACAAATTCAACAGAAAGTACAGATTAATAGCTTTTTTTCAAAATACAGCTAGTGTTTCATACTCAGGGCACATCTCAGTGTGCACAGGCCGCACTCCAAGTGCTCGGCAGCTCGTGGCCCATGGCTGGAACTAGACAGGACAGGCCCAGATACACCTGCCAGTTCACAGGAAATGACAACACCCAGGCTGCAGAAGTTCTCTGGGACAGACCACCAGGTTTCCTCAAATAAATTGTGAAGGAAAAGTGGAAAAAAGGGAAAGACAGAAAACCTAAAGATAAAAGATTTAAAACATACATATCGATCTAACTGAAATCTGTACAGATTAGTTAGATTCTAATCAAAGAAATGGTTAAAAAACAAACAAACGAGTGAGCCCTAGCCGATCTGGCTCAGTGGACAGTGTCAGCCTGCGGACTAAAGGGTCCTGGGTTCGATTCCGGTTAAGGGCACATGCCAGGGTTGCGGGCTCAGTCCCCAGTAGAGGGCATGCAGGAGGCAGCCAATCAATGATTCTCTCTCATCATTGATGTTTCTATTTCTCTCTCCCCCTCCCTTCCTCTCTGAAATCAATAAAAATATATTTTAAAAAATTAAGATAATTGGAAGGTTGAACAATAGATCTGTGTTACTCAAAAATTATTATTAGGTTGTGACAATAGCATTATAGCTAGATTTCTTCAAGAGCAATTCTAGATTGTAATAATAGCTTTATAACTGGATTTCATCAAGAATAATTTTTAAGAACTACATTCTAAAAGATTTACAGGTGAAATGATTGGATTTGAGGGAGTTATGACAATAGGATGGGGTGGTAACCTTCTCAGATAAAGGAAAATCAAAACAACTCGCTAATAGATCCACTCTCACAGAAAAATTAAAGGGAGTTCTTCAAATAGTAAGTTATAAAGGAAAGAATCTTAGAGCAAAAAGGCAGAAAAAAAAATAAAAACAGAACTCTGGGTACATACAATTATCCTCCTCAGGATTTTCCAAAATCATATGTGGTGACTAAACCAAAAATCATGCCTAACCAGCGTGGTTCATTGGTTGAGCATCAACCTGTAAACCAGGAGGTCATGGTTCGATTACTGGTCAGGGCACATGTCCAGATTATGGGCTCAATCCCTGGTAGGGGGCATACAGGAGGCAACCAATCAATGGTTCTCTCTCATCATTAATGTTTCTCTCTCTCTCCCTCCCTCTCCTTTCCTCTCTGAAATCAATGAAAATATATATTTTTAAAAATCATAACACCAAAAAATTAAAAATATATAAATAAAAAAATCATAACACCATCCAATACACAAGATAATAAGTGATTGATAAAGAGACCGAAAAGGAAGAAAGATTTTCATGCTTCACTCAAATGACAAAATTGACACCAGTCTGGGGAGCAAGAGGTGTTGGGGGAGGGGACCCAAGGGGGGGAGAGACACACCAAGATGTCACATGTTTATATGGTAAAATTCAGAAAAACCACTAAGAAAACTATGTACAAAGCAACATACTCCAAAGACTACAATAAATCAACGAAGAATCCTAAAAAAATATCTAAGGACAGAAAAAGAGAAACAAAAAACAGAAGAAAACAAGTAATAAATTGACAGACTTAACCCCTAACATATCAATGATTTCCTGAAATGTAAATGGTCTAAAAATCCCAATTAAAAGGCAAAGACTGCCCTGGCTGCCGTGGCTCAGTGGATAGAGTGTTGGCCTGCGGACTAAAGGGTCCCGGGTTCAATTCTGGTCCAAGGGCACATGCCCAGATTGCGGGCTCGATCCCCAGTGTGGACCGTGCAGGAGGCAGCCCATCAATGATTCTCTGTCATAATTGATGTTTCTATCTCTCCTTCTCCCTTCCTCTCTGAAATCAATAAAAACATATTTTTAAAAAAATAAAAGGCAAAGACTGGCAAATAGCATTAAAAAGTAACCCAATTAGCCATGGCTGGTGTTGCTAAGTCGTTAGAGCATCGGCCCTCGCATCCAAGGGTCATGGGTTCAATTCCCAGTCAAGAACATGTACCTGTGCTGTAGGTTCGATCCCTGGCCCTGGTCAGGACACGTGCAGGAGGCATGTGTCTCTCACACATTCATGTTTCTCTCTCCCCCCATCCTTTCCTCCCTTCAGCTCTCTTTAAAAATAAAATAAAATAAAATGGAAAAAAAAATATCCTTGCGTGAGGATTAACAAAACAAAGTACCCAATTATATGATGTTTACAAGAAAATCACTTCAAACTCAACTACATAGATCGAAAGTAAAAGGATAAAAAGATATACCATGCAAACAGTAACTTTTTTTAAAAAGCAGGTGTATTCAATACATACACATACCTTAGATAAAGTCGACTTCAGAGCAAAGAAAATTACTAGAGACAAAGAGGGATACTACATAATGATAAAAAGATCAACTAACCAGGAAGAGATATCTATCCTAAATGTATATACACCAAACAACAGTCTCTTAAGTATGAAGCTCAAAGGAGAAGTAGACAAATCCACAATTATAGCTGAGGACTTCTATCCGTTGATGAGGGCTGGTCAAAGTACTAGACAGAAAATCAGAAAGAATTAGAAGAAGTGAACAACAAATTCAACCAATACAATCTAACTGATATTAGGTCATTCTACCCAATGACAGAAATACTTTTTTTTTTTCAATAACCATGGATTATTCACCAACATAGAACCTCAAGAAATTTATAAGAACTGAAATCACACGGAGTATGTTCTTCAGACATAATAAAATCAAACTATAAATTAATGAGAGAACTCGTGCACTGGTGGGGTCCCTTGGCCTGGCCTGCACCCTCTTGCAATCCAGGACCCCCCCGGGGATGTCGGAGAGCCGATTTCGGCCCAGTTCCCACAGGTCAGGCCGAGGGACCCCACTGGGGCACGAGTCTAGTATACATAGAAGATCTTTGGTTAATCTCTTCCCGCCCTCCCCCGTCCCTTCTGAGATTCATCAGTCTGTTCCATGTTTCCATGCCTGTGCATTGAGCATCTGCTTCCTGGTGGTCAGTGCACGTCATAGCTACCAGTCAGACAGTCAGACGGTGGCATGGTCACTTAGGATTTCATATATAAAGATAACAGAAAGACAATGCAAAAATCTCTAAATATTTGCCAATTAAACACCTTACTTCTAAGTAAGCCAGGAGTCAAGATGAAGTCTCAAAGGAAATAAAAGAAATAGAGCCCAACCGGTGTGGCTCAGTGGTTGACCTCTGAACCAGGAGGTCATGGTTCGATTCTCAGTCAGGGCACATGCCCAGGTTGTGGGCTCAATCCCCACTTGAGGGATATGCAGGAGGTAGCTGATCAATGATTCTCTCTCATCATTGGTGTTTCTATCTCTTCCTTCCTCTCTGAAATTAATAAAAGTATATATTTTTTAAAAATAGAGAACTGAACAAAAAGAAAAATATAATATAGCAAAATGTGTGGGAAGCAGTTAAGGCACTGCTTAGAGGGGAATTTATAGCACTAAAATGCTTATATTAGAAAAGAAATTTCTCAGATCACTAGTCTAAGTTGCTACCTCAAGACACTAGAAAAAGAAGAGCAAAATCAATCCAAGGAAAAGTAAAAGGACGAGAGGAAATCAATGAAATTGGAAATAAGAAAACAGTAGAGAATAGCAGTGAAACAAAGAGCTGATTATTTTTCACAATAACATCACTGCAGCCTCCTCCCTGGTATCCTGGCTGCCATGCTGCCCCCTGCAGTCCACTCCCTGCTCAGCTGCCAGGGTGATGGTTCTCAATTGTAGGTCAAAGCATGTGGCTCCCAGGCTCAAAATGCCCCAATGACTGCCAGCAAGAGAGACTAAACACCAGTTTGTACCACTCCTGGCCACACCCTGAACATCCAGACACACGGAGGGTTCCAGCCTCCACTCCTCGCTCCCGCCCTCCCTCCGCTCCAGCCCACTGGCCTCCTCACCGGGCCCCAAATGGACCAGGAAAGGCCCTGCTCCAGAACCGCTGCACACATCTGTGTTTGGGACACTGTTGTCCAGCTATGTGTCCATAGTCACTATATACAATGAAATGCTATCCAGTCACCAAGAGGAAGGTCTGACCCAACCTGCTACATGGATAAGACTTGAAGACATTATGCTGAGTGAAATAAGCCAGACAGACGCAAAAGGACAAATGCTATATGATTCCATTCATATGAGGTCCGGTCCTCATGTGTGTCACCGAGAGCATCTTCAGCTCCATACAGAAAGAAGGGTGGTGGTTGGGCTGGGGGGGGGGGGTGGGGAATTAGTGTTTAATGGAAATAGTTTCTGTTTGGGATGATGAAAAAGCTCTGGAAATGGGCAAGTGTTGATGGTCACACAACAGTGTGAATGTTCTTAATGTCCCTAAACTGTACACTTAAAAATGGTTAGGATGGCCCTGGCTGCTTGCTCAATGGTTAGAGCGCCGGCCCACAGACTGAAGGGTCGCAGGTTTGTTTCCAGTCAAAGGCATATACCTTGGCTGTGGGCTCAATCCCCATTCCCACCCCTCCACTCCTGCCTGGCCAGAGCTCATGCGGAAGGCAACCAATTGACGTGTCTCTCTCACACTGATGTGTGCCTCTGTCTCTCCCCCTCCCTTTCATTCTAAAAAAAAAAAAAAAAAAGGGAAAAAATATCCTCAGGAAAAGATTAACAACAAAAAAAACACCGGTGTGGTTCAACTGGTTGAGCACCAAAAGGTCACTGGTTCAATTCCCAATCAGGGCACATGCCCGGGTTTCAGGCTCCATCCCCGGAAGGGGGCATGCAGGAGGCATCCTATCACATGGATGTTTCTCTCTCCTCCCCCCCCTTAAAATCAATAAAAACTTATTTTAAAAAATGATTAGGATAGTAAGTTTTCTATTATATATTGTTTTAACACGCATACAGAAACGCAAAGTAGAACAGAGCCTGGCAAATATTTTCTGCAAAAAATCAAACAGTACATGTTTTCAGTCTCTTTCCCAACTACTCAAATGTGCACTTCCAACACAAAAGGAGCCACAGATAATTAGCAAACAGATGGGTGTGGCTGTGTGCCAATAAAACTTTATTTGCCAAAACAGGCAAAGGGCCAGCTCTGGCCTGCAGTTTGCTGACCCTGGATATGGGGCACACCATTATGTGGGTTGGTGTGTTTGTTTATGCTTGTTTGTGCACCGAATGTCCCTGGAAGTTCACGGGAACAGTCATTATCTCCAGAAAGGTGTTGTTTTTTTGTAATCCTCCCTGAGGATATTTTTTTCCATTGCTTTCCAGAGAGTGGAAGGGAGGGAGGGGAGGAGGAAAGAGAGATAGAAACATCGATATGAGAGACCATCCCACATGCGCCCTGACAGGGGGTGAGGAGCAAACCCGCAATCCAGGTATGTGCCCTTGACAGGGAATCAAATCTGAGACCCTTTGGTGCACAGGCTGACGCTCTAACCTCTGAGAAACACCAACCAGGGCAGTACCTTCTGACTTGAATGCATTTTATGTTCTTACCTATTTGCCAGAGACTAAACACCAGTTTGTACCACTCCTGGCCACACCCTGAACATCCAGACACACGGAGGGTTCCAGCCTCCACTCCTCGCTCCCGCCCTCCCTCCGCTCCAGCCCACTGGCCTCCTCACCGGGCCCCAAATGGACCAGGAAAGGCCCTGCTCCAGAACCGCTGCACACATCTGTGTTTGGGACACTGTTGTCCAGCTATGTGTCCATAGTCACTATATACAATGAAATGCTATCAGTCACCAAGAGGAAGGTCTGACCCAACCTGCTACATGGATAAGACTTGAAGACATTATGCTGAGTGAAATAAGCCAGACAGACGCAAAAGGACAAATGCTATATGATTCCATTCATATGAGGTCCCTGGAGGAAGGACAGAAAGAAGATGGTGGG